AGTCAGAGTCACTTCGTACCTACCTTTCCCTAATGTTGATATAATATTGGGTAATGATTTAGAAGGGGATAAGGTAGGGGACTCCAGACTGCCTATTATGTTGCCTACCCCTAAGGTTTCCCTGGATATACCCGCTGCAGAGGATAATGTTGTGTACCCTGCGTGCGCGGTGACCAGGTCTATGGGACTTAAATCTAAGGGCAGCCCTGTGCTTGCCAAGGTGGTAAATCCTGAGGACACGAGGAACTTTCCAAGTGGTGAAAGCCAAGTGGACCTTGCGGACACATTCATGGCCCGACTCGATGACGTGGCCGAGGACATGGCGGATAGCCTAACATCGCCTCCTACCGAGAGTAGTGAGGAGGTGGAGGGGAACACTGTTGATAGTGTTCCCCTCCACCTCTTCTAAAGTATAACAGTGAAGTAATTATTAACTATCCTTAGAACGAGTAAAGTAAACAGTATTGTACGTCGGTGAAGATTTGTAATGTGTATAAGCTGCACAATCAATTAGGCTCTTCCCGGCAACCCCAACAACAACTCGGGAGCTCGGCGACTGGTCGCTGGCTCCTCCTTCTCTGTTCAGACGGCGTGGTGTCAACACCTTCCTCTCGGGGCTCTGCCTTGATTCTCCTCCTCCTTCTCCCTTTCCCTTACCTTAAGTTCCTGTAACTACAAACTTAAGTACCTTTATGTGTAACAATGCTAACGGCTAGGCTTGTAGAAGGTTGGTGTAGATATTGTGTAGTATAAGCCAGTGTTTTGGGCATCCCTAAGTGTTGTGTTGTGTAAGGGTACCACGTGGGCTCACTACCCCAAGCTGCCTCAAGCTTTCAAGTTCTTCACTAGTAGACTTTACCCTAGCTTGTCCTAATTGTAAAACCTTGTATCCTGCCTATGTGGACCAAGGCTTTTAAAGTAAGATAGTGTGGTAAAGTAGTTATTGTTATTGTTCTTTAATGTATATGGGGTTGTTAAGAGGGTTTAATAAATAAGTTAGTTTTTGAGGTGTATCCATTACTCCTGTTGTAGTGGCGTAGATGATTGTATCCCAGACGACAGATCGGTTTTAAAACCTTAAAGCATAAACAGGAACCTATGTTCCTTGGGGGCTGGGCCTATTTGTGCCACTAACTCTGATACATCTTGATTCTAACTGCTAGCCCTTCTCCATAATACTCAATAACCCCCATAACAGCTCGTTAAATTTATAACAATAACATTTTTGCCCTATGGCCTCATGACCCTAATCTTTTCCAGCTTTTCCTCTCCTCTCTTAACAATCTGGCTCCTTCTATCAATTTCAAAGTTGAATGAGAATCTAATTCCTAACTTTCTGTTCTTAACGTTCAGGTTTACAGCTCTGTCCAGTTTCTCTTCCTCTGTCTACCACAAACCTAAGCAAAGTGGTATGTACATTCATTTCTTTTCCTACCATCCTCCTTCTATTAAGGAACAAGAAGGTTCCAGACAGGAAGAGTGGACAGGAAAAACTGATGTGTCAGGGATACTGAAACAGGTACAAATGGAAGGGGCTGAAAATGAGTAGAGTAGATTTTCTGGTTTGGCCACTACAAATATGTTGGGGAATACAGAGAGGTATTCCTTCAGAAGGACATGACTAGGGATGGAATAATGCAGAAGCAGATGTAAGAAAAAGGTACAGGGAGAGAGAATGGAGCCATGGAACCTTAGCCTCAAAACCAACAATCCGAGAGGGAAGTAAGGAACCAAAATCAGCAATTCATGTATCCCAGAGGGGACTGCAACACTTCCCAGTCTGCCACCCGATAGGAGCCACTCCCCACCCCTTACTCCAAGCCCAAATCCTCCCTCCCTTCTACACACAGCCCACCATACCACCCAAACCCTCCCTTCCCCCACCCCTCACCCCAAGCACCCCCTTCCTCCCAATCCCATGATCTTCCTCGTGCGCCAAGCAGGCCCAGGCAAGATCTAAGCCCTCAAAAAAACCACCACACCTGCCCCCCGAACCCCTTGTAACTACTCCACAGAAGAATGAACCCTCATCCTGAGCACTCCCTACACCCCCCCCCCCTTTCACCCCATGGACTTCGTCCTGTCCCAAACAGGCCCAGGCAAAATTTTATTCCTAAACCCCCACCCCACCCCACCTCCTTCCAAATGACTGGTAACTACCTTACAGTAGAATGAATCTACCCAAGTAGCCCTGCCCATGGAATGGCTTCCTACACTAGTGGGGAGTGTGTGATTATGGATATAGGAAAGTGAGCTTCATGGTTATGTTGTCAAACATCGATGGGATTACTTATAAGGCAAATGAATTGGCCGAAAGTGTGCAGGAAGAAAATCCTTTAACTGATCAATCAAAAATGAATCTAAATTATACAGGACTCTGCTAATGTTCAAATTACATGATTTTGAAATCTGTATTAAAGCAGATTCAATTATGTTTCTATTGAAAGTAATTTTAGTATTCGTTACAGAAGAAGATATCTCCCACACAATTTGGTGAGAATTTTCCTACAAATGAACAAACAAAGCATTAGACAATTGAAATGTCTCACAGAGAATTTATGTTGCGAAATTCTACATTTGAAATCATTAGATGTTTGCCTAACATAGAACCTATTACAGTCTTTACAAGGTATTTTATAAATGACACAATTATCACTACAAGGACTGTTTCTAACTAATTGTTTTCCAGCAGTATTTTTGTAACTAAACAATACATGTATATCAAAAAGTTTCAAGGCCTTGACAATATTTTCAAACCCAGAATAATATGATAAACATAACACATTCTTTGGGGGAATTTTCTCACTGCAAATATTATTATAATATGTACGACGTGCTTTGCTACGGCAAACTTCCAAAAAACTTAGCGGATAACAAAGCTTGAGACAAATAGAATCAATATTCCTAAACCCTTCAGCTAAGAGTTCTGGACTAACAACCCGAAGAGCTCTTAGATACATAGAGGAAAAATAGATTGTTTTACATTGGATCTATACCCTGAGAAATAATGAACATAAGATAAATTATTCGTAGGCTTTCTGTAAACTCTTAACTTTAGTGAACAATCTTCCCTATGAATAAGTATATCTAAGCAAACATTTATCAATTTCAGTCTCCATAGTAAATTTTATAGAGGTGACTTGATCATTAAGTTTAGCTACAAATTCGTCTATTTTTATATCAGTAGGCCATATACACAAGATATCATCAACATTTCTAAAGCATGGAATGATTCCAGGGCTAATTTTGTGGGATCCATTTCTCACAAACTTTTAAATGGCTCACCAAAATCTTGTCCCCATTATTAGGAACAATTTCCTCTTCTGGTTTGACCAATTCTTTTGAATTAGTAAACAAATTGAATAGTGTTCCAATCACTCCTGATGTCAAGTTAATCAGTTTTGACATCTGTTCTTTGTTTACAAAGGTTGATGATATTCTTGATTACCTTGCTCATGAATTAATGAATCATGTTTTACTTCTTTCTGCTGATATTGTTGTCAATCTCCTTAAGCTGTGCATAAAAGAAGGTAAATTTACCTTTAATAATGAGTATTATTTACAGACTTTTGGAATGACAATGGGGAATCCTTTATCGTCATTGCTTTCAAATTTGTACATGGAATTCTTCGAAAAGAAATTTGTTTCAAAAATTACCGCTGGAATCATTCCATGGTTTAGATATGTTGATGATATTTTGTGTATATGGCCTACTGATGTAAATACAGACGAATTTGTAGGTAAACTTAATGATCAAGTCACCTATATAAAATTTACTATGGAGTGTGAAGTTGATAGATGTTTGTTAGTACAAGAACTTGTACTAACAAAACATTTGTTAGTACAATAATTTGTTAGTACAAGACCAGCAGCAATAATAATTGCATATTGTATTAAAAGTTGGTAAAGGATGTCAGTTTTTTCCCGACAGTCCCTGTAGTTTCCTTGTTAGTCTTTCATTAAGTCTCCTCTAAAGCTTTAGCAAAGTCCATGTAAACAACATCTTCCGGCAGTCCTTTGTCTGAGTAGCCGGTTACCGTTTCCAGATATGTGAACAGGTTTGTAAGGCAGGATCAAATTTTTAACAAACCCATATCGCGTTGATTTTACAAAATTGTTCTCTGTGAGATGTTGGATGCTTTCCTCCCTTAGGATTCTCTCCATGAGCTTGCAAATGCGTGATGTCAAGCTGATCGGATGGTGGTGTTCTGCTGTTATATCCCTTAATTCATGCTCTTCACTTCCTTCAAACATTTGTGTGGGTGATGGAATGTCATCCAATCTTTCTAGTGTGAACACTGATGTACAGTATTCATTCAGAGTGTTTGCTGTTCTTTTATCATCCAATATACTTGGTTAGTCTCATCTTTTAAGGGTCCGACAGTCCTTTGTTTTGATTTTACTTCGTATACAGGCATAGAATGACTTTGGATCTTCCTTTATGTATTGGTCTACTTTTCTTTCTTATCTTTAGGCTATTCTGATATCCTGGGGGTGGATGAAATTAATGCAATTCTATGCATCTCACAATCAAGCATGTTCACTGTGGATTTATACCGTCTCCAGAGATTCCGTTTAGTTAATAAATCTCTTTTTACTATTTATCATCCATCTAGTTTCCTTTCTTTTCTTTCTCCTTTTTGGCACATTTCTTTGAACGAGTTCAGTAATGAACGTTTCGAAAATTTTCCATGCTGCCTACATGTCATGGTCACCTATTAGCTCCCTCCGCTCACCCTCCCAGAAACATCACAAGTTGTTGTTTCCTCAAGCGGGCTCTATCACATGCTTTATGAGAAAAGAGTCCTGCACTAGGTCAAGAAGTTGATCTCCTTCTGCTTACAATGTTAGATTTACCCAATCTATTGTCTGGTGGTTAAAGTCGCCCATTATAAGAGTTTGGGCGGTTATAAGAGTTCATATTAGGAGTTTAAAATGAACACACTTTATTGGTAATACTTTAACAGGACAGATACCACTAAAAAACATTTTGTTTTTACCTTGCATTTTCATCTTCTTCAGAGCCAAACAAAATCTCAGTAAGTTGTTCAGTGTTGCAGGTACGGCACAGTGGTGGACAAGGCTCCCCGCAGAACCCAACACAAGGGTGACCGCATCCTAGCTTCTCAGGACAATTTTCCTGGCATGGGCTCACTGAACATTTCTCACCACAAAGATTCTTGCACTTCCGGTGTTTGCACTTCCTCACACACTTTTCCTGCACATGAAAATTTTTTAATGTTTATGATTTATTTACATAATTCAAAATGCTGTGAGAAAATATAGTTATTCACTAAATTATAGATGACGTACTTTTAAAAGATTTGTAACTGTGTTTCTAGAGTAATGATTCTGTATTGTTCTAGACGAAGTTAAGAGATACTCATCAATTCTTACCAATATAATATGAAGAGCCAAAGCTTCCTTTTATTATAATAGACTTAAAGAAACCAAAGGAAATATGAACAGTACATGGAAAAACATGTCTAACATCCTAGGGTCTAAACAAAAATCACAAAACAAGCAGATAAAACTCTCCAAAGATGGTTACCCATTTACAACAGACTTAGATATTGCAACTGAATTCAATTAGCCTCTTTTCATCAATTGGTGCTAACCTTGCCAGAAAAATCCTAGAGACCCAAACACATGTTACTACATATCTGTCAGACATATCTATACTACATCCAAACTCTCAACTCCTTTTACTAGACAGCCCGACAGATATTATATCCATAATTCAATCACTTAAAACCAAAGCTTGGAACATTAATGAAATACCATCTATTACATATAAGAGGGCTGTCCCTGCTCTTGCACTACCCATAGCTCTGCTATTCATCAAATCTCTAAAGTGTTATACTTTTTACGTTGGATGCATTCCAACATTTTCTGTCAATTAAAGTATTGGAGAAACCGTATCGCCTACAATCCTGAGAAGTTAATTCAGTATATTTTCATCGAAATTCTTGAGTATCAGCTGTATTATATTGTGCACCCTGTACATATCATAAAACGCACTACCACTGTCTGCCAAGTGCTCACACTAAATCTTAACTCTAAGAAACTCTTCAAAGATGGTTGTAAGTCACTGTTGTGTAGTGGTAAGACGCTCGCCTGGCGTCTCGCGAGCGCTTTGTAGTGGGCTCGTATCTTAACTGTAGCCTCGGTCAACCCAACAGTAAAATGGGTACCTGGTTATTAAACGATTTGGCGGGGTCGTATTCCAGGGAACATAGGATTAAGGACTTGCCCGAAACGCTACGCGTACTAGTGGCTGTATAAGAATGTAAGAACTCTTGTATATATAAATAAAAAAAACTTAAGCCCTACCTAACCACTAACATGGACACTCGTGGCTCGACTGCCTACATCACAAATCTTGCAGTCATCATGAGAGTATTTGCACACACACTGCACCTCTCAAAATGATGCATGCAGATGAAAGAGTCTATGAGTGGGCCAAGTGTGAGTACAATAGGTACAAAGGTTGACCGGGTCGAGGCTACTGCGCTAGGCCTGATGAACCCTGTTCTGGACATGTATCTTCACTCACCACCTGCCTCCCCAACAACAATCCTCACAACCGACACCACCTGCTCCCCTGACAACTAACACTACTAACACCAGCAACCATCCGTAACAAATACTGACACCCCCTTGCATGCCTCCCATGACAACCACAAATACCACTTGTCTCTCCCAACAACAACTGACACCACTTGCCTTCCCTAGCAACTTACACTACCTACCTTCACAACAACTTCCACTAATAACACCACAAGCCATCACTGACAAGCACTGACACAACCTGCCTCCCATGACAAACACTGACACCACTTGTTTTCCCCCCTGACAACCACTGACATCACGTGTCTCCTCTGATAACCACTGACACCACTTGCCTTTCCCTGACAATAACTGACACCACTTTTCTCCCCTCAACCCTAACAACCATGACAACCACTGGCACCACCTGCTTCCCATGACAACCATGACACACTTACCTCCCACAACCACTGGCACCACCTGATAACCACTGACACAACGTTTCTCCCCTGACAACCACTTGCCTTCCCTGACCACCACTGACTCCACCTGACAACCATTGACACCACTTGCCTCCCCTGACAACCATTGACACCACTTGCCTCCCCTGACAACCATTGACACCACTTGCCTCCCCTGACAACCATTGACACCACTTGCCTCCCCTGACAACCATTGACACCACTTGCCTCCCCTGACAACCATTGACACCACTTGCCACCAAGTGAGCAATATAGCAAGCAAGAGCAATCTATATAAATAAAAATGTAAATGTTCATTTGTTCAAAATCAATAATCTCCAAAAGTTCTTCACCAATTGCTTTGAAATTTTCACACAACGTTCTATTTGCCTCCGAGCGGGTTTTTATATACATACTATGTTGACATCACGTCTGTGACAGGAAAAAACATGCTTTTTTTGAAAAACTGTAAAACTTTAAAACCATATGAGAGAACATACAAACTTTAACGTCCACAATGACCAGTTTGAGAAAATGTTTGCTACTAAGTAAAAAAATAAATTTGTATATGAGCGTTATGTAATCAATATATTATTGTATAAACAGTTGTAATAAATATAAATTTAACTAAATTATATCTTGTACATTGTATAACAAAGATATCAGTATCACTGCTCATTATAACCTATAGAAAATACCTTATACTATTTATATCAGAGAGTTAGTTTATAGTTCATTTATTATGCACCCTATACTCATCTTGTGAGTGGTTGTGTAGAGCTCAGGAATTGAACCCCGCAATTCGTTTAGCTAAGCAAGTTATAGTCTTGATGAGCTAGTTACAAAATACAATGCACATTAAATTATTAAACCTATACTATTTGCTGACGATACTACCTTCATCTATTCTGACCCCAACCCCCCACACACTAAATAATATTGTCAACGATGAATTAAAAAAGGTCCACACATGGATGTCAACCAACAAACTCACACTAAACATGGAAGACTTACTACATTTTACTTGGTAGTTATTCATCAAATCAAATTCAACTTCAGAGAGACAATGTTAACGTTAGCAATAAAAATTATGGAAAGTTCCTTGGCCTATACATAGAAAAGAGACTCAACTTCAACACCCACATACAACACATAACTAAGAAAGTCTCTAAAACATTTGGTATACTCTCTAAAATCAGATATTATGTACATACCTCTGCTCTCCTCTCACTATACAACGCACTAATCTTTCCCTATCTTACTTATGGTATCTGTGCATGGGGTTCAATCACTGCAAACTACCTCAAGTCCATCATCATCCAGCAAAAATCGGCTATCATAACAATAACAAACTCTGCTTTCAGACAACACTCAGCCCCTCCCCCCTGTTTAAATCCCTAAACATGCTAAACCTAAACTCACTCTACACATTTTATTGTACCATCTACATTTACAAAACCTGGTTCTTAACTGCAAACCCTATTCTGAAACTCGCCCTAGACAGATGCAATAGGACCATAATCACCACACCAACAAATGCAATTCAGCTTCAGATAGACAATGTTAACATCAGCAATAAAAATCATGGAAAGTTCTTTGGCCTATACTTACACAAGAGATGGAACTTCAGCACCCACATGTAACACAGAGCCTAAAAAAGTATAAAAAACGGTTGGTATACTTTCTAAAATCAGATATTATGTTCCCAACTCTGCTCTCCTCTCATTATACTACACGTTAATATATCCCTATCTTACATACAGTATCTGTGCATGGGGTTCAACCACTGTAAATTATCTCAAGCTCATCGTCACTCAGCCCATCTATAGCAAAAATCTGCTATCAGAACTATAATAAACTCTGCCTTCAGACAACACACAGCCCCCTCGGCTTAAGTCTTTTAACATTCTAAACATATACTCCACACATTCTCATGTGCTATTTACATGTACAAAGCCTTGTTCCTAAATGCTAATCTTGATCTGAAACCTTTCCTTCACAGGTGTAATAATAACGTATGAGCACAATACCAGAAATAAATATATCTCTGATATCCCCAGAGTCAAACTAAATCTGTGCAATCACTCCTTGCAAATGAAAGGACCCAGTCTTTTGAACTCACTCCCTGGTGAATTACAAAATTGTCCAACCTATGCCCTGTTCAAAAGTTAAACCAAAAAGTACCTAATTTCATCGTCACAGTTTCATTGTGCTTCAAACTCACACTGTATCTTGTACTACCTACTTCCTTAATATTAGTACTTAGGACATATATATCTTTACCAGTATAATCACCTCTGTCAATTTATATTGTAGTTATTTGTTGACATAAAACCTTGCTACAGCGTACCTTTTCATCTTACCTGATATGTTAGATTAGGGACCTGCCCGAGACGCTATGCGTGTTAGAGGCTTTGCAAGAATATACAAATACCAATCTTATGTAATCTCGCCAACTCATAGTACCTTCTTATAAATAAACTATGATTATTATTGATTAATTTCTTACTGTTGCTTTTCTAACATTTCTTCGGTAGCTGTGTTTAGTTAGTTTAAATTTATAACCGCTTGTTCTTGGAGTTCCAGGTTTCAGGATTTCTTTCCTATCGATCTTTTTCGATTCCAGTTACTAATTTTGACAGCATTAATCATTTCGCCTCTTTTCCTTCTAGTTTTGTCATATTTAATACCTCTAGTCTCTCCTCATAGCTATTGTCTTTGAGTTCCAAAGCCATTTAGTTCATGTCTTTGCAATTTTTCTAATTTATTGATGTGCGTAAGATATTACAACAATACAACCACGGCATATTCCAACTTTGGTTTTACATAGGTCATGAACAATTTGTTTACACCATCAATGTATTTAAATGAAATTTAGAAATAGGAAAGTGCTTTTAGCACATTGTTCTTTAGGTGGTCCTCGGGTGACAGTTTTCTACTTAGACCACTCCTAGATCTCTTTCTTTATCAGATTGTTTTAAAGCTTTTTCATATAATTTGTAGGTTGTGTGTAGTCGGTTTTGTCCTAGTCCATATTCCATAGCATGGCATTTATTAACATTAAATTCCATTTGGCAAGTGGTGCTTTATACATTTATTTTGTCCAGGTCTTCTTGAAGGGCATGAAAATCATCTTAAGATTTTAATTAGTATCTTAGCATCACCAGTAAACATGTTCATATAATTATGTATTCTTTCTGGTAGGGCCTTTATGCAGATAATGAACATTACCGGTGCTAGAACTGTGCCCTGTGGTATTCCACTTATGACATTTGTCTAGTCCGATACATTGCCTATAATTACTGACCTCATTTTTCTGTTGTTAAAATTGTTTCTGTTATTAAAGCATGCATTTCCGTGCCAGCAATGATGCCATATATCTAATGAACTAATTTATACAGTAGTACAGAGAAACAATGTCGAGTAATGACATTTGCAGTGCTGGCCACATCTGCCTGACTGGCAACACACGGAGGGTAGGCCACCTTCTGCTGCAGCTAATGTGCTATTGACATGGTCAACATGTTTGGCCACACCTGATGATAAAGCACACATAACACTATCCTGACCAGGTTTGCAGGGTTGGTCAAGCCTGCAGGTGTAGCGGCTGTGTCACTATTCAGAAAAGATGTGGTGTGCTGGCCACATCTGCAGGTGCAGCGACTCTAATAGTAATGTGACCAGAAGCTGGATTCATCAAGCAGTTAAGAACCTGAACAGTTTTTCTCAGTCTCTGGCGGCTTTGTTTACATTTACTAAACAGTTTACGAGCAAGGAAACATCCCAGTCAAATGTTATTATTGTTATAAACAGCCTCCCAAAGCTTCAGACCTCATAAACTCTTTAATGAGTGTACACAAAGCTGTCAAAGAGTAAGAAATAATGCTAAGGTCCGTAATGCTTGATGAATCCAGGTCCAGATCCTGACATGGCCAGCAGGGCTCTCCACACCTGTTGATACAGCGGCTGTAACACTAACCTGACATGGTCTACAGGGCTCTCCACACCTGCTGGTACAGCGGCTGTAACACTAACCTGACATGGTCTACAGGACTCTCCACACCTGCTTGTACAGCGGCTGTAACACTAACCTGACATGGTCTACAGGACTCTCCACACCTGCTGGTACAGCGGCTGTAACACTAACCTGACATGGTCTACAGGGCTCTCCACACCCGCTGGTACAGCGGCTGTAACACTAACCTGACATGGTCTGCAGGGCTCTCCACACCTGCTGGTACAGCGGCTATGTACACAACGCAAAGTACATGGTCTCTGGCACGGGGGACACTCGCTGCTACAGTCAGCTTTGCATCTGTCAAAAATGTTTTATAAAACAGAATTAACAAAACGAAACTGTCATTAGCTATTTATCACATGATGGTGAAATACGTTTATTTAGTGACATTCATAAGGCTTTTGAGACCGTTATAACAATATCCTTCTGGTCAAATTGCATCACTACAGAGTGAAGGGTCTCTCCCCATTATACATTCGATCTTACCATAGTGAGAGCCACCAGTATGTTTCTGTGAACAATAATGCTACTCCCACATTCCCGGTTAATATTAGCATTCCTCAGAGAAGTATAGTTAGCCCACCTATGTTCTTATATACATCAATTGCCTACCAAATTCCACACAATATCTTAAGCTAATACTATTTGCTAATGGCACAACTTCTACTTCTCAAATGCCTATCTCTTATTTTAACTGCCACAGTGAATACTAAACTCAAGAATGTATACATGTAGCTGACTACTAACACACTCATCCATTAACTTGAAAAAATCGTATAACAAATTATTTGGAATGAAGTTAACAATCAAACAAAACCAAGAATATATAACTCCTATTTTGAAAGCAGAGCAGAAGGGGGAATTCCTATGGATTTCATATTGACAACAAACAATTTCATTTGCAATATGTAAAATATAGTACAAAACGTACCTACAATTGTAGGAATATTTTCTATAATCATACACAATGTACCTCAGTGTTCCTTAACTACACATCTTTATTAACTCATGTATCTTTATCCCATTTACACTATCTATGGCTGGGGGATCCAAAACAATCCCGATCTAAATATCCCGAAACTTCCATCCTTTTTAAGGCTCTGAGTTTGGTGCAGTAGGTTTAATGCGTACCAGCTGTGCCGGTTGTTGTGAAGCATCTGTGCTGGCGAAAGTTCAAGCCTCCTGGTGGGTGTGTGTGTGTCTATAGTTGTTTAACTTCAGACTTGTGGTTTATACAAGTTAGTGCATAAAGCATAAACACCATGTTCTCCCATTTTAACAGAGCTTGATTAAAAACGTGAGTGACCTCTCACCTACTCTGGTGTTCTTGTGGGGTGGAGGTATCTGGGGCTTAAATACCCCAAATTTTTCATCCTTTTTAAGGCTCTGAGTTTTGTGCAGTGGGTTTAGTGCATACCAGCTATGCTGGTTACTGTGAAGCATCTGTGCTGGCGAGGGTTCAAGTCTCCTGGTGGGTGTGTGTGTCTAAAGTTGTTATATATATATATATATATATATATATATATATATATATATATATATATATATATATATATATATATGTCGTACCTAGTAGCCAGAACTCACTTCTCAGCCTACTATGCAAGGCCCGATTTGCCTAATAAGCCAAGTTTTCATGAATTAATGTTTTTTCGTCAACCTAACCTACCTAACCTAACCTAACCTAGCTTTTTTTGGCTACCTAACCTAACCTTACCTATATATATAGGTTAGGTTAGGTTAGGTAGGGTTGGTTAGGTTCGGTCATATATCTACGTTAATTTTAACTCCAATAAAAAAAATTGACCTCATACATAGTGAAAAGGGTAGCTTTATCATTTCATAAGAAAAAAATTATAGTAAATATATTAATTCAAGAAAACTTGGCTTATTAGGCAAATCGGGCCTTGAATAGTAGGCTGAGAAGTGAGTTCTGGCTACTAGGTACGACATATATATATATATATATATATATATATATATATATATATATATATATATATATATATATATATATATATATATATATATATATATATATATATATATATATATATATATATATATATATATATATATATATATATATATATATATATATATATATATATATATATATATATATATATATATATATATATATATATATATATATATATATATATATATATATATATATATATATATATATATATATATATATATATATATGTCGTACCTAGTAGCCAGAACGCACTTCTCATCCTACTATGCAAGGCCCAATTTGCCTAATAAGCCAAGTTTTCATGAATTAATGTTTTTTCGACAACCTAACCTACCTAACCTAACCTAACCTAACTTTTTCGGCTCCCTAACCTAACCTAACCTATAAAGATAGGTTAGGTTAGGTTAGGTAGGGTTGGTTAGGTTCGGTCATATATCTACGTTAATTTTAACTGCAATAAAAAAAAATTTACCTCATACATAATGTAATGGGTAGCTTTATCATTTCATAAGAAAAAAATTAGAGAAAATATATTAATTTAGGAAAACTTGGCTTACTAGGCAAATCGGGCCTTGCATAGTAGGCTGAGAAGTGCGTTCTGGTTACTAGGTACGACATATATATATATATATATATATATGTCGTACCTAGTAGCCAGAACTCACTTCTCAGCCTACTATTCAAGGCCCAATTTGCCTAATAAGCCAAGTTTTCCCGAATTAATATATTTACTATAATTTTTTCTTATGAAATGATAAAGCAACCCTTTTCTCTATGTATGAGGTCAATTTTTTTTCATTGGAGTTAAAATTAACGTAGATATATGACCGAACCTAACCAACCCTACCTAACCTAACCTAACTTATATTTATAGGTAAGGTTAGGTTAGGTAGCCAAAAAAGCTAGGTTAGGTTAGGTTAGGTAGGTTAGGTAGACGAAAAACCATTAATTCATGAAAACTTGGCTTATTAGGCAAATCGGGCCTTGAATAGTAGGCTGAGAAGTGCGTTCTGGCTATTAAGTACGACATATATATATATATATATATATATATATATACATATATATATATATATATATATGTCGTACCTAGTAGCCAGAACTCACTTCTCAGCCTACTATTCAAGGCCCGATTTGCCTAATAAGCCAAGTTTTCCTGAATTAATATATTTACTATAATTTTTTTCTTATGAAATGATAAAGCAACCCTTTTCTCTATGTATGAGGTCAATTTTTTTTTATTGGAGTTAAAATTAACGTAGATATATGACCGAACCTAACCAACCCTACCTAACCTAACCTAACCTATATTTATAGGTAAGTTTAGGTTAGGTAGCCAAAAAAAGCTAGGTTAGGTTAGGTTAGGTAGGTTAGGTAGACGAAAAAACATTAATTCATGAAAACTTGGCTTATTAGGCAAATCGGGCCTTGAATAGTAGGCTGAGAAGTGCGTTCTGGCTATTAGGTACGACATATATATATATATATATATATATATATAATATATATATATATATATGTCGTACCTAGTAGCCAGAACTCACTTCTCAGCCTACTATTCAAGGCCCGATTTGCCTAATAAGCCTAGTTTTCCTGAATTAATATATTTACTATAATTTTTTTCTTATGAAATGATAAAGCAACCCTTTTCTCTATGTATGAGGTCAATTTTTTTTATTGGAGTTAAAATTAACGTAGATATATGACCGAACCTAACCAACCCTACCTAACCTAACCTAACCTATATTTATAGGTAAGGTTAGGTTAGGTAGCCAAAAAGCTAGGTTAGGTTAGGTTAAGAAGGTTAGGTAGACGAAAAAACATTAATTCATGAAAACTTGGCTTATTAGGCAAATCGGGCCTTGAATAGTAGGCCGAGAAGTGCGTTCTGGCTATTAGGTACGACATATATATATATATATATATATATATATATGTATATATATATATATATATATATATATATATATATATATATATATATATATATATATATATATATATATATATATATATATATATATATATATATATATATATATATATATTATATATATATATATATATATATATATATATATATATATATATATATAACAACTTTAGACACACACCCACCATGAGACTTGAACCCTCGCCAGCACAGATGCTTCACAGTACGCACAATATATATATATATAGTATATATATATATATATATATATATATATATATATATATATATATATATATATATATATATATATATATATATGTCGTACCTAGTAGCCAGAACTCACTTCTCAGCCTACTATTCAAGGCCCGATTTGCCTAATAAGCCAAGTTTTCCTGAATTAATATATTTACTATAATTTTTTTCTTATGAAATGATAAAGCAACACTTTTCTCTATGTATGAGGTCAATTTTTTTTTATTGGAGTTAAAATTAACGTAGATATATGACCGAACCTAACCAACCCTACCTAACCTAACCTAACCTATATTTATAGGTAAGGTTAGGTTAGGTAGCCAAAAAAAGCTAGGTTAGGTTAGGTTAGGTAGGTTAGGTTGACGAAAAAACATTAATTCATGAAAACTTGGCTTATTAGGCAAATCGGGCCTTGAATAGTAGGCTGAGAAGTGCGTTCTGGCTATTAGGTACGACATATATATATATATATATATATATATATATATATATATATATATATATATATATATATGTCGTACCTAGTAGCCAGAACTCACTTCTCAGCCTACTATGCAAGGCCTGATTTGCCTAATAAGCCTAGTTTTCATGAATTAATGTTTTTTCGACAACCTAACCTACCTAACCTAACCTAACCTAACGTTTTCGGCTACCTAACCTAACCTAAGCTATAGAGATAGGTTAGGTTAGGTTAGGTAGGGTTGGTTAGGTTCGGTCATATATCTACGTTAATTTTAACTCCAATAAAAAAAAATTGACCTCATACATAATGAAATGGGTAGCTTTATCATTTCATAAGAAAAACATTAGAGAAAATATATTAATTCAGTAAAACTTGGCTTATTAGACAAATCGGGCCTCGCATAGTAGGCTGAGAAGTGAGTTCTGGCTTCTAGGTACGACATATATATATTAAATATGACTAAAAAAGTAAGATTAATAATTCTAACACGAGTTTTCTCGATCTTTCGTACATTACTTTTCACTGTTGGTGGTAATTCAAAAATCAATTCTCCAAAATTCATTTATATTTCTAGTCTGACGCGACACTTGAGCGCGTTTCGTAAAACTTATTACATTTTCAAAGACTTTAGTTTACACATACACAACTGAACAGAACTTACACATCTCCGATTTGTTTATATCTACATTTGAGTGAGGTGGATGGGGTGAGGTGGTTTTAATAGGGTATTAAATTCATCAACACAAGACAGAACACGAAACAATGGGT